ATTTTAACTGCTTTCATTTTTTTACCGCTCATTAGGGTTCCGTAACGCCTCGTACGCACGATGAGATAATCGGACGAAAAATACCGCTTTCTGCATGATCATCCGATAATCTGATCGTTAGTATACAGATTTCGAGAGCCGATCACGACAGTTCATGCAAAAATTATCCAAAAGGACAAGATCGAAATTTGTTTCTCATAAAATACCAGAACGAAGGATTTTTGTTTAACTAGTTGCCGACCGCAGATAGCCGAATGACGGCTTCACTGCGGCCGGCCAGTTCTGAGTGGACGTCATATGACGTCCCCCCAGAACGCGCTCTCCTGTGCGCCCCAGGGGGCGCGCACCCGGCGATCTCCGTGATCGCTGTGTCCTACGGACACAGCTGATCACGTGATGTGGTAAAAGGCCGATCCCCAGCGGCCTTTTACCACGTGATCAGCGGTGTCCAATGACACGCTGATCAGAGGGAAATGCAAGTGCCGGTTCTCGGCTGCACTTTCCTCACGCTGTCAGATCGTGAGGAAAGTACTGCCGAGAAACGGCAGTTGTCAGAGCGGGGATCGGCACCGATCATCAGGAGACTGATGATCAGTGCCCTGATGATCGGTGCCCAGCAGTGCCACCCGCAAGTTCCACCCACCTGTGCCCAGCAGTGCGCCCACTAGCTCCGCCCACCCTGTGCCCAGCAGATCACCCACCTCTGCCCAGCAGTGCACCCACCTGTGCCCAGCAGTGCACCCACCTGTGCCACTCTGCAGTGTCACACACCTGTGCCCAGAAGTGCCACCTACCTGTGCCCAGAAGTGCCACCCACCTGTGCCCACCCACCTGTGCCCACCAGTGCCACCCACCTGTGCCCACCCACCAGTGCTGCCCACCAGTGCCACCCACCAGTGCAGCCCACCAGTGCTGCCAGTCAGTGCCCCAGGGGTTGTGCCAGTCAGTGCCGCCAGTCAGTGCCCAGCAGTGATGCCAGTCAGTGCCGTCTATCAGTACCCATCATCAGTGTCACCTATCAGTGCCGCCTATCAGTGCTGCATATTAGTGCCGCCTATCCGTGACACCTCATTAGTGCTGTCTATCAGTGCCGCCTATCCGTGCCACCTCATTAGTACTGCCTATCAGTGCCCTTTAGTGCTGCCTATCAGTGCCGCCTATCAGTGCCCATCAGTGCTGCCTCATCAACGCACATCAGTGAAGGAGAAAAAATACCTGTTTGAAAAATTTTATAATAGAAACAAAGAAAATTTTGGTTTTATTTTTCAAATTTTTTGCACTTTTTTTATTTATAGCGCAAAAAGTAAAGCGCCCAGTGGCAATTAAATACCACCAAAAGAAAGCTCTATTTGTGAGAAAAAAAATTATCAAAATTTCATATGGGTACAATGTTGCATGACCGCGCAATTGTCAATCAAAGTGCGGCAGCGCTGAAAGCTGAAAATTGGCCTGGTAAATAAGGGGGTATAAGTGCCTGGTAGGCAAGTGGTTAATCAGTACAGTATTCGTCTGTAAAAAATCAAGTGACCAAGACCACGCATGCTTCAAAACAAAGAATACATTACAATACAATACAATACAAAACATGACATCACTTCCAAAGTTGTATTCTGTCTTATGAGAATTTTCGTAACTTTTGTAACCTCGGTACGAGATTAGCATGTAAACAAGCAGTGGACAATCATTCGTCTGATATTCTCATTGTGTGTACGAAGCTTAAGGTGTTACTAAACCCACAACAACAAAATCAGTCTGTAGATGCAGTAAAGCATGCTTGCTATACTCATTGTTGAACCTAAGGGGTTAATCCTCTGCATTGTGTAAAAAGTCTGTTTGATCCTGTCTTCTACAATCTTTAACCGGTATTCAGCTGAAGTCACAAGACTGCTCTAACTGCTGATGAGAAAAGTTATTTAGCAGTATATTTATATTTACTAAAATATTTGCATTTCCATGTTGTGTGTACAGTGGTAGACCAGATTTAGTGAATGCAGGGTCCGGGGAGAGTGGATATAGTGAATGCAGGGTCCGGGGGGACCGGATATAGTGAATGCAGGGTCCGGGGAGACCGGATATAGTGAATGCAGGGTCCGGGGAGAGTGGATATAGTGAATGCAGGGTCCGGGGAGACTGGATATAGTGAATGCAGGGTCCGGGGAGACCGGATATAGTGAATGCAGGGTGCGGGGAGAGCGGATATAGTGAATGCAGGGTCCGGGGAGACCGGATATAGTGAATGCAGGGTCCGGGGAGACCGGATATAGTGAATGCAGGGTGCGGGGAGAGCGGATATAGTGAATGCAGGGTCCAGGGAGACCAGATATAGTGAATGCAGGGTCAGGGGAGACCGGATATAGTGAATGCAGGGTCCGGGGAGACCAGATATAGTGAATGCAGGGTCCGGGGAGACCAGATATAGTGAATGCGGGGTCCGGGGAGACCAGATATAGTGAATGCGGGGTCCGGGGAGACCAGATATAGTGAATGCGGGGTCCGGGGAGACCAGATATAGTGAATGCAGGGTCCGGGGAGACCAGATATAGTGAATGCAGCATCCTGGGAGAACGGATATAGTGAATGCAGGGTCTTGGGAGACCAGATTCAGTGAATGCAGGGTCTTGGGAGACCAGATTCAGTGAATGCAGGGTCTTGGGAGACCGGATATAGTGAATGCAGGGTCCGGGGAGAGCAGATATAGTGAATGCAGGGTCGGGGAGAACAGATATAGTGAATGCAGGGTCCGGGGGAGAACAGATATATAGTGAATGCAGGGTCCTGGGAGAGCGGATATAGTGAATGCAGGGTCCGGGGAGACCGGATATAGTGAATGCAGGGTCCGGGGAGACCAGATATAGTGAATGCGGGGTCCGGGGAGAGCGGATATAGTGAATGCAGGGTCCTGGGAGAGCAGATTTAGTGAATGCAGGGTCCGGGGAGAGCGGATATAGTGAATGCAGGGTCTGGGGAGAGCGGATATAGTGAATGCAAGGTCCGGGGAGAGCGGATATAGTGAATGCAGGGTCCTGGGAGACCAGATATAGTGAATGCAGGGTCCGGGGTTTAGTAACACTTTAAGAGAGATTTCCCCTTCTGCTGCAATTTCATCAGCCAGGAAGCAAGTGAAAGTCTGCAACAGGGACACAAAAGTCTGACAAGGGGTCATAACCTTCTTTTACTATACTAAATAAAATAATTTTTATTTCTGTCTGTGCCCTTGTTGCAGATTTTCCTTCATTTCCTGTCCAGTAAACCGTTACCCGTAGAACAGGAAGTACTGGAAAATCTCTCTAATATAGTGCCAGATAACAACAAAAACCTGAGTTTTTAACCCTTCCGCACTCCATCCAAAATTAAGAAAAAACGACTCAAAAAAATTACAGGAACACTTTTTAATCCGAGTCTAACATCAAGACAGTGAAACTCCTGGTATATTGATCTGGTCAGGTAAGTAGCAGAGGGGGTTGTTAATCAGTTTCAGCTGCTTTGGTGTTAATGAAATTAACAACAGGTGCACTAGATGGGCAACAGTGAGACCCCCAAAACAGAAATGGTTTTACAGGTGGAGGCCACTGACATTTTTTTCCCTACTCATCTTTTTGGACTGTTTTTCACTAGTTTTGCATTTGACTAGGGTCAGTGTCACTACTGGTAGCATGAGATGATACCTGGACCCTACAGAGGTTGCACAGGCAGTCCAGCTCCTCCAGGATATCACATCAATGTGTGCCATTGCCAGAAGGTTTGCTCAAGAGCATGGAGGAGATTCCAGGAGACAGGCAGTTACTCTAGGAGAGCTGGACAGGGCTGTAGAAGGTCCTTAACCCATCAGCAGGACCGGTATCTGCTCCTTTGTGCAAGGAGGAACAGGACAAGCACTGCCAGAGCCCTACAAAATGACCTCCAGGAGGCCACTGGTGTGAATGTGTCTGACCAAACAATCAGAAAGAGACTTCATGAGGGTGGCCTGAGGGCCCGACGTCCTCTAATGGACCCTGTGCTCACTGCCCGGCACCATAGAGCTCAACTGGCATTTGGCATTGAACACCAGAATTGGAAGGTCCACCACTGGTGCCCTGTGCTTTTCACAGATGAGAGCAGGTTCACCCTGAGCACATGTGACAGACATGAAAGGCTCTGGAGAAACCATGGAGAACGTTTTGCTGCCTCTAACATGGTTCAGCATGACCGTTTTGGTGTTGGGTCAGTGATGGTCTGGGGAGGCATAATCATGGAGGGACGCACAGACCTCTACAGGCTAGATATTGGTACCTTGACTGCCATTAGTTATTGGGATAAAATCCTCGGACCCGTTGTCAGACCCTACGCTGGTGAAGTGGGTCCTGGGTTCCTCCTAGTGCACAACAATGCCTGGCCTCATGTGGCGAAAGTATGCAGGCAGTTCCTGGAGGATGAAGGAATTGATACCATTGAATGGCCCCCACGCTCGTCTGACCTAAATCCAATAGAACACCTCTGGGATGTCATGTTTCGGTCCATCGGACGCCACCAGGTTGCACCTCAGACTGTCCAGGAGCTCACTGATGCCCTGGTTCAGATATGGGAGGAAATACCCCAGGACACCATCCATGGTCTCAATAGGAGCATGCCCTGACGTTGTCAGGCATGCATACAAGCACGTGGGGGTCATACAAACTACTGAGGACCATTCTGAGTTGCTGCAATGAAATTTTAGCAAAATGGACTAGCCTACTGCATCATTTTTTCATTTTGATTTTCGGGGTGTCTTTGAATTCGGTCCTCTGTAGATTGATAATTTTCATTTCCAACAAACGATGGGGCGTCCTTACGTTCCTAACACATTACCCCGTCCATATCAGTATAGAGATCCAGCAGGAGATTTTCTCCCATTTGAGATCTGATGGGTTTTCAAAGTGTTCCTTTCATTTTTTTTGAGCAATGTATATCTAGGAGGTCTTGTGATTTCTACTGCCCACCTGTGCACAATTTTTGTTTTATTGACACTGTGTTTCTGTTTCTAGGTGGGCATTGCGTCCTTCAGATACCCTTCGAACAAGCTGCCTGTACACAGCCATCGCTGACATCTTATGGCGTGCTGGAGACTGTAAGCAAGCAGTTGTCACTTTGTAAGTAGGTCTGAGGGTACCTATTTACTTTACAAGTATGTAAAATATATACAGTGAGGAACAGAAGTATTTGAACACCCTGCGATTTTGCACGTTCTCCCACTTAAAAATCATGGAGAGGTCTGACATTCACATTGTAGGTGCATTCCCACTCTGAGAGACAGAATTTAAAAAAAAATTCAGGAAATCACATTGTATGATTTGTAAAGAATTTATTTGTCTTGCACGGCTGAACAGAAGTATTTGAACACCTGAGAAAATCAGTGTTAATATTTGGTACAGAAGTCTTTGTTTGTAATTACAGAGGTCAACGTTTCCTGTAGTTCCTTGACCAGGTTTGCACTGCAACAGGGATTTTGGCCCCCCTCCTCCACACAGATCTCCTCTAGATCTGTCAGGTTTCAGGGCTGTCGCTGAGCAACACGGAGTTTCAGCTCCCTCCAAAGATGTTCTATTGGATTTAGGTCTGGAGACTGGCTTGGCCACTCCAGAACCTTGATATGCTTCTTACGGAGCCACTCCTTGGTTCTCCTGGCTGTGTGCTTCGGGTCGTTGTCATGTTGGAAGACCCAGCCACGACCCATCTTCAATGCTCTGACTGAGGGAAGGAGGTTGTTGCTCAAAATCTCACAATAAATGGCCCCATTCATCCTCTCCTTAATACAGTGCAGTCGTCCTGTCCCCTTCGCAGAAAAGCACCCCAAATGCATGATGTTACCACCCCCATGCTTCACAGTAGGGATGGTATTCTTGGGATGCAACTCATCCTTCTTTTTCCTCCAAACACGACGAGTGAAGTTTAGACCAAAAAGTTCTACTTTGGCCTCATCTGACCACATGACTTTCTCCCATGCTTCCTCTGGATCATCCAGATGGTCATTGGCAAACTTCAGATGGGCCTGGACATGTGATGACTTTAGCAGGGGAACCTTCCATGCAATGCATGATTTGAAACCATGACAGTGTAGTGTACTACTGACAGTGACCTTTGAAACTGTGGTCCCAGCTCTATTCATGTCATTGATCAGCTCCTCCCTTGGAGTTCTGGGCTGATTCCTCACCTTTCTTATCATCAGTGATACCCCACGAGGTGAGATCTTGCATGGAGCCCCAGTCCAGGGGAGACTGACAGTCGTCTTTAGCCTCTTCCATTTTCTAACAATTGCTCCAACAGTTGATCTATTTTCACCAAGCTGCTTGGCAATTGCCCCATAGCCCTTTCCAGCCTTGTGGAGGTCCACAATTTTGTCTCTGGTGTCTTTTGACAGCTCTTTGGTCTTGCCCATGGTAGTAGTTGGCATCTGACTGACTGTGGGGTGGACAGGTGTCTTTAAAGAGCTCAGACAGGTGCTACTAAGTTACATTAATGAGTGGAGTAGAGGTGACCTTTTTAAAGGTGCAGTAACAGGTCTTTGAGAGCCAGAATTCTTGCTGTTTCTTAGGTGTTCAAATACTTATGTTCAGCAGTGCAAGACAAATACATTCTTTACAAATCATACAATGTGATTTCCTGAATTTTTTTTAAAATTCTGTCTCTCAGAGTGGGAATGCACCTACAATGTGAATTTCAGACCCCTCCATGATGGAGAAGTGGAAGAACTTGCAAAATCGCAGGGTGTTCAAATACTTCTGTTCCTCACTGTACATACTGTACCAGGGCTGAAACAACTAATCGATATAATCAATTATGAATATTGTCAACTATTATTATAATGAATTAGTTGCTCAGCCGATTAGTTGGCCGCCATACAGAATGCATTATTTGTTTACATATCATAAAATACAGCTCAGCACATATACAGCTCAGTACACCATTTATACATGTCAACACACAAATTATATTGCCAAAAGTATTGGGACGCCTGCCTATGCACGCACATGAACTTTAATGGCATCCCAGGGTTCAGTACTGAGTTGTACAAAAAATGGCCACTGCCCCGGTACATGCATAAGCTACAGAGCCTCGTCACGGCACCCCGATATTCTGTAGTTCCTAACTCTACAAATTTTGAGAGCCCCCCCATAGTAGAGGCACATGTATTTAAAGGATAGACCAGGGGCAGGTGGGCCCGAGTGAGCCCCCACCCCTCCTTAAAGGTACAGGAGTACCAGCATGTAGCACAATGACAGCTAAGGTGTCCAGTGCACCCCCTCACCAACAATTCAACAATACAAAAAATGGCCACTGCCCCAGTCTATAACTGGCCTTCACAGCAAGGAGCACATGGAAGGGCGACGCATGTCAAACAATAAAAGAGAAAAGTTCCCAGCTCAGCTTACCAACCAGTCTGCAACCAAACCGAATTAACCTAACAGTATGCGTTAAAAACGGGTTTAGTTAGCACACATTTGCAAATACATGCGTAAGTTACAGAACCCAGAATACGTAAGTCACAGCACCCTGATATTCTGCAGTTCCTAACTCTACAAATTGTGAGAGCCCCCATAGTAGAGGCACATGTATTTAATGGATAGACCAAGGGCAGATATATATATATTAAAAGTATTGGGACGCCGCATCCCAGTCTTAGTCCGTAGGGTTCAATATTGAGTTGGCCCCGCCCTTTGCAGCTATAACAGCTTCAACTCTTCTGGGAAGGCCGTCCACAAGGTTTAGGAGGGTGTCTATGGGAAGGTTGGACCATTCTTCCAGAAGCACATTTGTCAGGTCAGGCACTGATGTCGGGGGAGGAGGCCTGGCTCGCAGTCTCCGCTCTAATTCATCCCAAAGGTGTTCTATGGGGTTGAGGTCAGGACTCTGCAGGCCAGTCAAGTTCCTCCACCCCAAACTGGCTCCTCCATGTCTTTATGGACCTTGCTTTGTGCACTGGTGTGCAGCCATGTTGGAACAGGAAGGGGCCATCCCCAAACTCTTCCCACAAAGTTGGGAGCATGAAATTGTCCAAAATGTCTAGGTAAAAATTTTTGATTTCTGAGTCTGATGATATGTACCAGATTCAATGTCTGATAGTATATACATCTTTCCTGTCTGTTATTCTCAGAGATTAGATATTTTATTCCCTAACCATTAGCTGGTTATTTATATAATCACTACATATAGATATTCAACAATAAATTGTCTTTTGTTAAACTTTACATATTAAAGTGTTACTAAACCTAGGACCTTACATTCACTATATCTGGTCTCCCCGGACCCTGCATTCACTATATCTTGTCTCCCAGGACCCTGCATTCACTATATCTGGTCTCCCCGGACCCTGCATTCACTATATCTTGTCTCCCAGGACCCTGCATTCACTATATCCGCTCTCCCCGGACCCTGCATTCACTATATCTTGTCTCCCAGGACCCTGCATTCACTATATCTTGTCTCCCAGGACCCTGCTGCATTCACTATATCCGCTCTCCCCGGACCCTGCATTCACTATATCTTGTCTCCCAGGACCTTGCATTCACTATATCCGCTCTCCCCGCACCCTGAATTCACTATACCCGCTCTTCCTTCACCCTACATTCACTATATCTGGTCTCCCCAGACCCTGCATTCACTATAGCCGCTCTCCCCGGACCCTGCATTCACTATATCCGGTCTCCCCGGACCCTGCATTCACTATATCCAGTCTCCCCGGACCCTGCATTCACTATATCTGGTCTCCCCGGACCCTGCATTCACTATATCTGGTCTCCCCGGACCCTGCATTCACTATATCCGCTCTCCCCGGACCCTGCATTCACTATATCCAGTTTCCCCGGACCCTGCATTCACTATATTCAGTCTCCCTGGACCCTGCATTCACTATATCTGGTCTCCCACAGTACACACAACATGGAAGTGCAATTATTTTAGTAAATATAAACTGCTAAATACCTTTTCTCATCAGCAGTTAAAGCAGTATTGTGACTTCAGCTGAGCACTGGTTAAAGCTTTTAGGAGGAGTTTTCTTTCTGCTCTAGGAGGATGCAAAACCCCTGACTTCTGCCTGGACATTGCTGATTGGCCCTGTGCTGATCATATGCACTCTCCCAAGAAAAAATAAAACCTTTATAGCAATACACACTAAATTGAGCATGTCCAGAAGGGCTATGGGTTCAGTCTGCTTTATCAGCGGACATTTGAACAAGAGGAGGGGCAGAGAAGACAGGATCAAACAGCCTTTTTACACAATGCAGAGGATTAACCCCTTAGGTTCCACAGTGAGTATAACAAGCATGCTTTACTGCATATACAGACTGATTGTACTGTTGTGGGTTTAGTAACACTTTAACTAAATTATACACCATGCTGTTTTTTTGAGGTTTTTATCTGATTAATCGAAACAATAATTGGCCAACTAATTAATTATGAAAATAATCGTTAGTTGCAGCCCTAATACATATAGTGCATGTCTTCAGTACATGTTTTATTTCTTTAAAGACCCTGTAAGTACACACAAATACCTGCTGATCTGTCAGAAATGTACTCTGCACTTAATCCTTATTGTGTGCCTACATCACACATATTTTTGGACTACCGTATATACTCGAGTATAAGCCGACCCGAATATAAGCCGAGGTACCTAATTTTACCACAAAAAACTGGGAAAAACTATTGACTCGAGTATAAGCCGAGGGTGGGAACACCAGTGGGAAGAATCGTGCCTCATCATTGGTGTCAGTGGGAGGAATAGTGCCCCATCATTGGTGTCAGTGGGAGGAATAGTGCCCCATCATAGGTATCAGTGGGAGGAATAGTGCCCCATCATAGGTATCAGTGGGAGGAATAGTGCCCCATCATTGGTATCAGTGGGAGGAATAGTGCCCCATCATTGGTATCAGTGGGAGGAATAGTGCCCCATCATTGGTGTCAGTGGGAGGAATAGTGCCCCATCATTGGTATCAGTGGGGGGAATAGCACCCCATTATTGGTGTCAGTGGAATAGTGCCCCATCTTTGGTGTCAGTGGGAGGAATAGTGTCCCATCATTGGTGTCAGTGGGAGGAATAGTGTCCCAACATTGGTGTCAGTGGGAGGAATAGTATCCTATCATTGGTGTCAGTGGGGGGGTGGAGGAAAAGTGCCCCATCGTTGGTGTCAGTGGGGGGGAAGAAAAGTGCCCCGTCGTTGGTGTCAGTGGGGGGGGGAGGAATAGTATGCCATGATTGGTGTCAGTGGGGGGTGGAATAGTGCTCCATGATTGGTGTCAGTGGGGGGTGGAATAGTGCCCCATCATTGGTGTCAGTGGGGGGGGGGAGGAATAGTGCCCAATCGTTTGTGTCAGTGGGGGGGAGGAAAAGTGCCCCATCGTTGGTGTCAGTGGGAGGAATAATGCCCCATCATTGGTATCAGTGACACCAATGATGGGGCACTATTCCTCCCACTGACACTTGCTGACCCTGTTCCAGTATGGTGCTGCTGCAGCCAGCATATGTGGTTGCAGCAGCACCTAAGCACGGCACACTTACCTGCATCTCCTTCACTCGATTTTCGCGGGGCCGCTCAGCTCCGCCTCCTCGCCGGTGATTGGCCGCCTGTGTGCCTTTCCTGAGCTACAGTTCTGGCGGCCAATCACCGGTGAGAAGGCGGAGCCGAGCAGCCGCGCGAACATCCAGTGGACGAACCGAATGAAGGAGCAGCCGCGCTTCCTGGACCGGATCGTCGTGGGACCGGAGCCAGGTAAGAGACAGCAGCCCCCTGCCCACCCCTGTACTTACTGTAGTTTCCCTTCTGTTGGAAAGGGGGGGGAGCCATCTGCAGACGTTGACTCGAGTATAAGCCGAGGGGGCCGTTTTTCAGCACAAAAAATGTGCTGAAAAACTCGGCTTATACTCGAGTATATACGGTATATGGGGGGAAAAGAAAAGTCCTGTAAGCCGCACATCACTGCAAGGCCCTGTGTGTATGTATGTAACAGCCTCCACCCGGGCTGCAACCAGGCCACACCCCCAGCATTTTTCACTCTGTCCCTGGAGTTTAGTCATGGGGATTTTTTGTGGACTGAATGGTGTCAGTCCCACCCAGTGCTAAACTACTCAACCACTCCCACCCTCAGATCTCTACAACAAAGAAGTTAAGCATTCTGTAGTCCAAAAAATAGAAATGCCAAACAGGCTTTTTTGAGATAACACAAAATGCTTCCAATGATATATTTAAAGTAGAACTTTTGGCCTTAAAAGAAAAATGGTGGAAAGGCAGAAATTTTAATGTAGAAGAGACATGCTATGTCTGTTCTACAGTAAAGTTACCTACCTGCCTTTCTGCCCCATATAGGGAGCCACACACACGTAGCTCACCGTACAGATCTGGTAATCTCACTGAACCGCACATGCACGGGAGTGACGTCATCCCTGCCCAACCAAAGAAAGCGGCCATCTGTCGAGACGCAGAAGCCACCCGCCGGAAGATGTCACTGGGCGGGAAGCTACAGGACACCGTATCGCTGAAGCCGAGATATGGAAAAAAGAAAAGTTCACCTTAAGGACTCATGTACACTGCAGCTGACAAACTCACGTTTAGGAGCTGTTCAGCATTTTTTCCAGCAGCCCCTGAACTCTCCCTAATGTTTTCCTATGTGTCCATGTACACATCATCGTTTACAGGCATTTGAGTTTACAGTCGTTTGTTTGAATGCACCAAACTTGCGTTCAGCAGTCGATTTTATTAGCGTTTTAAACGCTAAACGCGGCAGATCGCATTTATAAGCTTTTGCATTTGAAATTTTTTTTCAACTCTTCCAATTCCCGATGCTGTCCAGAGTCTTTTCATCATGAGAAATGCATGCAAAGCATTTTCAAGGTGCTCAGATGGACAAAACACTGAACACAGGATGTTCCTACTAAACTTGTCACACATTGTAATGACCAATTCACACCTCAGACCTCTCCCACCCTTGGAAACAAAAGATATGTTAATGACCATTCACACATCAAATTCCTCATGAAGACCCCCTGCCAGATGGCCTTAATGACTCCCCCCACCAGACACCTTTCCCACCCTTGGAAACAAAAGAAATGTTAATGAACAACTCACACCTAAGCTAACCTCAACACATACTGCTGTCTCTGCTTCTACTCTCTGTATTTCTCTGAAACAGTCTGAAATAGTTAATAATTTACCACTTTTCAGTGCATTCTGGGCATTTGGGAGCATCTCCTGTGTTTATCTTTAAAAAATGCTTCTAAACGCAAACGCACATAAACGCGGTATGCAAACGCGGCTAAACAGACTTTTTTTAACTTACATTTTCCAGCAGTCCGTTTCCATCGTTCAGAAGTGTCCCGTGTACATGGGGACTAAGGGTTTAGATACACTTCAGGATTGTGGCTAGAGATCTTATCTCCATTTTATAGAATATAGAACATTTGGTAAATAAAGGTGCGCAATCACAGCAGGCAAGAGTGCCTGTATATGTGCCATGCACACCTGTCCTGGTTTTCTTTGGATGCATGTGATTTCACTGGAGGCAAAGCAAGTCAAGCACAGAAAATCCATATCTTTTTACAGTATCTGCCTTTCTGTCTGGTCAGTTTAATTGAAATAATTACCTTTTTTTTTATGTTACTATCCTTTAGTGAAAAAAAAAAACAACTTTTAAATGACTGTAGTTTCCCTGTTTGTACAGCACATTTAAATTTCATTTGTTGTATTATGAGTTCCTCATACTGTGCTCTGCTTGTCATTGAAGGTCATCCGGGAGGCAGCAGTTCACTCCAGCTGGGAAATATAAAGCTGATGGAATCCTAGAAAGTGTAAGATTACTGCTGAGATGAGTCTATCATTTAATAACCATAATCAAAGAATAGTGTCGCGCTCCACTAACAATCGCAATCTATAATATCAAATATGTGAATAAAATAAATATATAAACAATAGACCAGCATCCAATTGAAAGTGACAATGCAATCACGCTGCTGCTGCATACATGTCCTTAATTCATCCGTGATTTTGACATTTCTTCTAATGGTGTGATACGAAGTGATTAATGTGCAGTCCACCAATCACAGAAAATGTGTACACCTTCACCGGCTGTGCTCTCACCTGGATTATATGACCAAACCGTTAACCACACAAAGGTCTCGTACAGCGATCTCCGGACACGGTGGGCACCGGATCGCAGTGCCGCTCGCTCCCAGGGAGTGCACACAGGCTTAAAATGTGGGTCGCCGTTTCTGAACGGCAACCCGCTCCTGCACTGCTCCTGTCCGGCCGTTTATATACATGGGCCGGACGGGAGCAGTGCAGGAGTGGGTTGCCATTCATAAACAGCGCCCGCATTTTAAGCCTGTGCACGCTCCCTGGGAGCGCGCGGCACCACGATCCGGTGCCCGCTGTCCGGAGATCGCTGTACGGGACCTCTGTGTGAGGCCTTGATCATGTGATCACTGGCCAATCAGTGATCACATGAATAGTAGTAAGCGAAGATGTCTCTTACGACATCATTGCTTACTACATGTGAAATCTGTGAATGATCACAGAGATCACATGGTACAGGGCTATTCACAACAGCCTTGTACCATGTGACAAGCTGTACCATGTGACCGCTGTCCGGAGATCGCTGTACGGGACCTCTGTGTGAGGCCTTGATCATGTGATCACTGATTGGCCGATCAGTGATCACATGAATAGTAGTAAGCAAGATGTCTCTTATGACATCATTGCTTACTACGTGTGAAATCTGTGAATGATCACAGAGGTCACATGGTACAAGGCTATTCACAACAGCCTTGTACCATGTGACAAGCTGTGACCAATCACAGCTCACACAGTATTTCTCAATGGCTGCAAGAATGCAGTCACAGAGGAGAAATGATTGCTTTTACAGCCTTCATCACCCCCCACAAGTAGTACAGTGTCACTATGGTGACAGTGTACTGCTAGGGTGACAGTATGTTAAAAAAAAAACCATAAATAATATAAAAATGTAAAACAAAATTTAGAAAAATTATACATTTTGGTTATAAACTAATTTGGGATATTTTTTTTTTTTACTAAAAAGATAGCTGAATACATTTTGGCCAAGATATATGAAGAAAGATTAATTATTTGCAAAATTTTATAAGAAAAACACTTTTTTAAAAATTTTTTGGACTTTTTCATTTATATAGCAAAAAAAAATAAAAATCCCAGTGGTGAATAAATACCACCAAAATAAAGCTTTATCTGTCTCAAAAAAATGCTAAAAAATTCATATGGGTACAGTGTTGCATGACCGTGCAATTGTCATTCAAAGTGTGACAGCGCTGAAAGCTGAAAATTGGCCTGGACAGGAAGTGGGGGAAAGTGTCCGGACTTAAAGTGGTTAAGTGAGGTCATAAAAGGCTTGTGTCCCTTTAATTGGACTTAGAGGTAAATGTATGAGATGATCCCTGGGTGGCACAGTGGCTTAATGGTTAGCACATCTGCCTTGCAATAAATGGGTCCTGGGTTTGATTCCCGACCATGGCACCTCCTGCATGGAGTTTGCATGTTCTCCCTGTTCTTGCGTGGATTTCCTCTGGGTGCTCCGGTTTCCTCCTATACTCCAAAGACATGCTGGTAGGTGAATTGATTCCTGTCCAAATTGTCCCTAGTATGTGTATGTATGAATGTGAGTTAGGGACCTTAGATTGTACACCCCTTGAGGGTTAGGGACTGATGTGAATGTACAATATATATGTAAAGCGCTGTGTAAATTGACGGCGCTATATAAGTACCTGAAATAAATAAATATTCCCTGGAGGTGGATGGATAAATGGATGGATGGACGGAGTTATCCCTTTTCCCAGTAGGGGGTCTCCTCACTTCCTTAGGAACGTTTCCTGGAAGTGGATGGATGGAGTTATCCTTCTTCCCACTAGGGGGTCTCCTTGCTTTCTTAGGATTTTTTTCTCCATAGGTGAAAGTGCCATGTAATGTAAAAAATATATATAGTGCTTTATCTTCTTTTTTTTAAAAAAAAAATTTTTTATTTAAAAAAAATAAATAAATAAATTATTAAACAAATATAGTGCACTCACATAAATTTTAGGTTAAAATCTCTTTACGATGTAAAAAATAGGATCCTCAATGTGTTTTCCAAACTGCAGTATACTTGCTGTGTGTTGCCGATAAGCGTCGTGACATCGGAGCCCCAGTTAATAACCACTTGCCCTCTGGAAGATTTACCCCCCTTCCTGACCAGGCCATTTTTTTGCGATACGGCGCTGCGTTACACTAACTGACAATTGCGCGGTCATGCAATGCTGTACATAAATAAAATTTATGTCTATTTTTCCCCCACAGATAGAGCTTTCTTTTAGTAGTATTTGATCACCTTTGCGCTATAAATGAAAAAACACCCTACAATATTTTTTACTTTCTGCTATAAAAAATGTCCAATAAAAAAAATATAAAAATCAAATTTCTTCATAAATTGTATTCTGTTACATATTTTTGTTAAAAACCCAATACGCGTATATTGATTGGTTTTTGCAAACGTTATAGCATCTAAAAATGGCTGTATATATACTAGATTTTTTTTTTTTAATACTACCAATGGCAATGATCAGCCACTTCTACGTGGGACTGCGACACTAATGCAGCCCATACATGGGTTGAATTCCAAATTAACTTTCTTTAGAAAATCAGAAATTTTGTAATCCGGTGGTGCCACCATTGATTTTGAAATTCAACCAACCAAGCCTTCAATTTCTTCTCATGTTGCTACAGAAAAGAATTTTCGTGTCCAAGAATTTTCTTTTCTTTCCAGGTCACAGCTCTATATTTCTCCCATCATTGATTCGAAATTTGTTCGTTTTTCAAAAAATTTCTTACATGCCCGATCACTCAAATCGATGGTCACACGAAAATTGCCAGTTTCTGTGACCCACTAATGGTTCAAAATTCGAACGAAAATTCTTAGAAAAGATTTTCGAAAGAAAATTCTTTTGGAATTCGACCCGTGTATGGCCAGCTTAACTGACACTTTGTGGGAACCAATGACACTAATACAGTCATCAGTGCTAAAAAATATACACTGTCATTGTATTAATGCCACTGGCTGAGAAGGGTTGGACATCTAAGGCGATCAAAGGGTTAATTGTGTGCCTAGCCAGTGGTTTTGTGTGCACTGTGTACTCTGTAAATTAGGCACTTTTATTTTCTGAACAAACCTAACAGTTTGCTGTTGACATGACACAGTCCTGCTTTGTTTTACAGTTGCAAGAAAAAGTATAAGGTCAATATGGTTGAGGTTATTGCTGCCAAAGGAGGGCCAACCAGTTATTAAGTCCAAAGGTTCACATACTTTTTCCTCCCTGCACTGTGAATGTTTACATGTTATGTGCAATTAAACCATGGCAACATCTAATGTTTGTGTAGTATTATGTTCAGCAGACTGTGTTTTTCTATTGTTGTGACTTAGATGACGTTCAGAGCACATTTTATGCCCAATTCATGCAAAACTCCACGTAATCCCAAGGGCTTCACATACTTTTTCTTGCAACTGTACACAATCAGAGCTGTGTTATGTCAGTGTCAAGTGCCAGCGCTCATCTATTGGCCAGCACCTGTTGATTGACTTCTGCTGTGTCCAATCACAGCATCAGCGGCAGGCGGGCGCCCCCCTGTGGCGAAAGTGCAAAATGATGTTTATGTACGTGATTTTGCACAGAACGTCCGCCCTGTAGCAGTAAATCAGCTATAGGGGCAGAATTCAAGTGGGTATATACATATAGGGGGTTATTTACTAAAACTAGAGAGGGCAAAATCTGGTACAGCTCTGCATAGAAACCAATCAGCTTCCAGGTTTTATTGTCAAAGCTTAACTGAACAAGATGAAGTTAGAAGCTGATTGGCTGCCATGCACAGCTGCACCGGATTCTGAGTGCTCCAGTTTTAGTAAATATCTCCAATGGTATATGAGATACATGTTTAACCCCCCTGGCTGTATTCCCGAGTGTAGCTCGGGGTAACGTTTCAGTACCAAAAGCGGTAACCCCGAGCTACACTCGGGCTTATCATGCGGCGTTGCTCCGGGATCTGTTCTTCTCTTACCTTGTCCTGCGCTCCCGCTATGTCCCTCCTGTAGTGTCCCCTGCAATGTGCTTTGGCCGATGCCGGCATCTGTCTTCTGGGTTCCGTTCCCTGCGACGTCGGGACGTACGGCGGGAAATTTGAAAATGACATAAAGTGACATTCACTAAATTCACTAAAATCACATAGTATAACATTCCTGTATCAAACCATTTCACATACATTTTGTCCCGAGTGATTTATCCGGCGCCCTGCCTGCATTTTTACTGTTCTTTCTGCCTGGAAACTGAGAAACGTCCATGGCGTCCAAAAAGCGTCCCTTTAGGTCAAAAGCGGTTTTAGACCGGCTAGAGAACAGCGATAGTAAATCAGAACCACTTGCAGAATTGAGTGATAATGATTCGTGGGGGAAATTCATCATCAGACACTGAAAAGATTCTGCGACTTTGCTCAGTGATGTGCGAACTTGGCGCTCTATTTCACATTTCAGTGTTTTTGGTTTGATTATATTATTGAATTAAATTTATTATTATTACATTTTTATTTTTTTATGATTATTTATTAAATTATAATTTATGATTTCGTGTTTCAAATTGTAACATACCCGGGATGTTTACTAGACTTTCGTTCGGACAGATTTCAGTGAGTTATTCCTAAAAATGACAGGCCTACAATAAAAAAAATACATATTTCCATGCAAAAAAATGTACCGCTTTGAGCACAGAAATATGGACATAATCAGACCGCTAGGGAGGTTAAAGAGTCTCTCAGGCAAAAATAAAAATCACTCTGTGCATAATTTCTGACGTTTCTCATATATGTACATGTAGTGTGTGTGTGTATAAAATAAAAAAAAAAAACCAAAATGACCCATATACAAATAATAATAATAATAGAAAAAAATAATAGTAATAAATTCTGACACTGACTATCCATTTGCAAAACTATTAATATATTTCTAATGTAATTCTATGTAAGATCAATATAAAGTAAATATACTTATGAGAATGAGAGCATCAATTACATTGTATTATTCAAAATTTGGAGCAGTATTTGTAGATTAGTCAACATTTCTTTTGCCACTGTTTCACCTACATATTCCGTCTTGTATTTCAGCTCATCTTGTACAGCTTTAAAAAATATGAAGATCTTTTGACTTTTCTTCAGCAAAATCCTAATCAGGTAAACATTTTGTGTAGCCTTTTTTACTTTCACAATGTGAATGTCTTTTTGGATGGACAGTGTACACTCTGGTTTCAATAAAAATGTAAAATTTTCCCTTTACTTTGGATCAATTCTGTGTAAACCAATGAGATTAAAAAACCAAAGCATATAAGTGGATGACCAATATAAAACCTTGTCTAGAAAATATACACAACACCATTTCCCCATTCCTATGCTCCACCCAACCCTGATGCACACCCACCTCTGCTCATCTCAGCTTCAAGGCCATTCATCAAAGGAAACTGCAAGCTGCTCACTAGAAAATAGTTGCAGATTAAAACTTTGTAAATACACCTTCCTCTCCAGCTTCTCTAGACCATGCAGACCTTGTCCCCTCATTGTGACACCTTCACTTGTTCCTGAGAGGATCCCTGTTGTGGTCAGGCTTGGAGACCAGTAGCTATGGCAGTAGAGAGGCCCCCACTGACCAACTGGATAAGCAAACAAGCAGATCACCCTGGTGGATGACACTGGCTCACCCGAGATGTGGAGTCTAAGTACTGATCGGTATTCACAAGAGCTCCTGATGGTGAAGATGGGTTTTGCTAAGTGTCAGCACCATGTCCTGGTCCTCCGATTTGCCCCACCAGGTGGGCTTGACCAGTAGCTATGGCAGTAGAGAGGCTCCCACTGACCAACTGGATAAGCAAACAAGCAGATCACCCTGGTGGATGACACTGGCTCACCCGAGATGTGGAGTCTAAGTACTGATCGGTTCACAAGAGCTCCTGATGGTGGAGATGGGTTTTGCTAAGTGTTAGCACCATGTCCTGGTCCTCCGGTTTGTCCCACCAGGTGGTGTGCAAGTCAAGGTTCAGTAGCAGATATAGATGGTAAGGCATAGTCAGTAAACAAGCCAAAGGTTGGTAACAAATGGTTGCAGGTTGGGATCAAGCTGAAGTGTAGTCAAAGAACAAGCCAAAGGTCGGTAACGAGTGGTAGTGGAGATGAGGACAGCTGCAGATTTGAAAAGGAGCAAGATATTGGATAGAGAGAGCACAACAATCTGGCAAACAGGAAGTGAAGAGCCATGGCTTAAATCATGGAGTTTATGGGAATTGCTAAGGGTTCAATGCTCACCAGAAACAAGAGACAAGGCAAGACAGTCCAAAGTATCAGACAGAGAGCTGTCCAGCATCTCAAGTGGTTCAGCAAGAAGAGCCTTTGCCGGACGCAGCAGAGGTTGTGGGTTTCGGATCCTATTCCTGACAACCGAACTGGTGGGCAGCCAGTAGAAAGTGTCCATGTCCTCCAGGCAATAATGTGGGCATCCAAACAAGGACCTACCCACTTTGCAGTTTAGAAAGGTAGATGACATGAGACTTGACATGTCATTTGACCAGGAATCTGGGCAAGTAAAAGGAGTGTATGTAATCTAGCATGGTGATTTAGTTGGGAGGGGGTGCCAGACAAAGGGAGGATTGGAGCATTTGCTACCCAAAGATCAGATTTAAGATAAAAAGGCTACAATAATAACCCAAAACGTGTGATTACTTACAATATATGTTACTTTTCCTTAAATTCTAGTTTGAACGTGGGCCTTTTGGTTGCATTCTGCTGACAGTGTCTTCTGTCTTCTCAAGATCTATTGATCTGTAAGTATATACCATTTCTGAACATCAATGTATACTGTATTTACCCCCCTGGCGGTATTCCCGAGTGTAGCTCGGGGTAAAGTTTCAGTACCACAAGCGGTAACCCCGAGCTACACTCGGGAATACACTACAGCATTGCTCCGGGATCTCTTCTGCACTTACCTTGTCCTTCGCTTCCGTGATGTCCATCCTGCAGCGTCCCCGGCCATCTCCTCTGGCCGATGCCGGCATCCGTTTTCCGGAACCGGCGGGAAATTCAAAAATTTTAAAAGTGACATTTACTCAATACACTAAAATCTCATAGTATTCCATTCCTGTATCAAACCATTTCACATACATTTTGTCCCGAGTGCTTTGTCCGGCGCCCTGCCTGCATTTTTACTGTTCTTTCTGCCTGGAAACTGAGAAACGTCTATGGTGTCCAAAAAGCGTCCCTTTAGGTCAAAAGCGGTTTTAGACCGGCTAGAGAACAGCGATAGTAAATCAGAACCACTTGCAGAATTGAGTGATAATGATTTGTGGGGGAAATTCATCATCAGACACTGAAAACGATTCTGCGACTTTGCTCAGCGATGTGCGAACTTGGCGCTCTATTTCAAATTTCAGTGTTTTTGGTTTGATTATATTATTGAATTAAATTTATTATTATATTATTATTTTTTTATATATTATTTTTAAATTATATTTATGATTTCGTGTTTCAAATTTTATCATCCCCGGGATGTTTACTAGACTCTTGTTCGGACAGATTTCAGTGAGTTATTCCTAAGAATTACAGGCCTACAATAAAAAAACAACATATTTCCATGCAAAAAAATTTACTGCTTTGAGCACAGAAATACTGACATAATCAGACCGCTAGGGAGGTTAATGTGTTAACAGAATATTTTGTGTAAGCGATCAGTAGATACATGGGAAAGGTATAGCTGGATTTATAACAGTTGTTGGCCATAAACGCACTGTAACTTCACAAATACTTGTTGTTTTCACTGATTATCACTGCTGACCCTCCTATTTTAACAGCACACATTTTTACTATTGCTTACACTGATTGTGCCCTCTGTTTACAGGGTCCAGAGAGACTTTGATGTTCCCACTAACTGCCTAATTGGTGCTCATGCTTATTGTACACAAGTAAGTCATTAACCACTTGCCCTCCAGAGGATTTACCCCCCTTAATGACCACGCCTCTTTTTGCTACTCGGCGCTGCACTAATTCAACTGATAATTGCGCAGTCATGCAATGCTGCACCCAAACGAAATTTACGTCCTTTTTTTCACACAAATAGAGCTTTCTTTTGGTGTAATTTGATCACCTGTGCGCTTTTTATTTTATTTTTTCACGCTATAAACAAAAAAAGGCCAAACATTTTGAAGAAGAAAAACAATATTTTTTACTTTCAGCTATAAAAAAATATATAGTAAACTCAAAGTTGGTTATAAATTTAGGCCAAAATGTATTCTGCTCTATGTTTTTGGTAAAAAAAAATCCCAATAAGTGTATATTGATTGCTTTGTGTGAAGTTATAGCGTCTACAAACTATGGTATAAATACTGCAATTTACACCATTTTTCTGCTATACAGCGCTGTGCTAGTTTAACGGACAATTGCGCGGTCATGCAATACGGTACATAAATACAATTTACATCCTTTTTTTCCCTACAAATTGAGCTTTCTTTCGGTGGTATTTGATCGCCTGTGCGGTTTTTATTTTTTGCGCTATAAAAAAAAAGGCTGACAATTTTGAGAAAAAAAAACAATATTTTGGACTTTTTGCTATAAAACATGTCCAGTAAAAAAAAAATGCAACAATCAAATTTAGTCATAAATTTCTGCCAAAATGCATTCTGCGACATGTCTTTGCTAAAAAAAAAATCCCAATACGTGTAAATTAATTGGTTTACGTGAAAGTTATAGCGTTTACAAATGGCGGGAAAATACTGGGATTTTAAATTTTTATTTATACTAATAATGGCGCCGATCAGCGACATATGGCGGCAATCAGCGACATATGGCGGCGACCAGCAACTTATGGCAGGACTGCGGGACTGCGGCAGACATTTTGACACTGGGGGGGAACTGACTTGGGGTCACTGACATCCCCAGTGACACCAATACAGTGATCTGTGAAAAAAAAAACACTGAAACTGTACTAATGTCACTGGGGAGGAAGGGGTTAACATTTTTAGAATTTGCTGTGTAAGGGGAGTGTTTTACTAGGGGGCGGGGGTGTGTACTGGACTGGGGGGAGGGAAGGGGGAGCTGATCGAGGGAGAGAAACTCTGCAGCTTCTCACAAGCTGTCAGAGAACTGACACAGAACAGGGCTGTGTGTAAACAATGCAGCTCTGCTCTGTGTCAGCGATCACCGTCAATCGCGGGAAAACGGCGGGTAAAAAACGGCCGTGACCCGGTGGCTGACACCCGCTGCTGACACCCGTGGGACAGGTAGGGCGGGCGCGCGCCTCGCGCGCGCCCCCTACCTGTTTTGAAGGCAGCCGTTTTAAAACGTGCTTTTGCCTACGAGTGCCGCCCTGCCGCCGTTTATATGTGGTGGCTGGGCGGCAAGTGGTTAAAGGGCATCGCTGACAAGAAATACATCACAAAGTCTTGTTCACACCATACGTGAATGGAAACTGAGGGGCAGAATTCACTTGCAGAAACATCAATTTACATAACTTTTCATGCATGCGTCAATGTGTTTTATATCCGTTGTAGATTCCTGTGCACAAAAAAATCTACACGTGATACTAGTGTTGTGATGTGAACAGGGCACATAGAAAACAATTGATATCCTTGTGCCCTTGCAGAACGTATGCAGAAAAACAGACACCATGGTGTGAATGAGCCCTTAAAATAAGGGACTTCGGACAGAGCATGGTTCCTGTATGTCCTATAATGTGAGGCCGACACAAGAAGGTCCATTTAGTGACCTGAACCTTGGTGCTACATACACACTAGAGCAGGGGTTCTCAAACTTTTTTTTTTTTTTTTTAAATAAAGGGCCAGTTCCTGGTATTGGTGTTTTGGGTCAATAAGACTTCCCCCCACATTGGTGTCATTGGCCCATTAACTGACACCCAGGCATTGCTGTTTAGTGGAACTTGTAAGCTCCACATCCTGTGCTGCTCCTCATGGTGGCATCCTGTCTGGGACTATACAGGCAGGGGATCACTTCACCAGTTGTAGCTGTAATAAAATGCTGGGTACTAGACTCACAGCCATCAAGCATGCTTCTTTGGATAGACCTGGTAATGAACACTTTCTTACGCAAGTTCCTTGTGGTCATCGCTTCTCACTCATAGTAGCACTGCCCTATCAGTACCAACCAGCAGGTAATCTTGTTGAAGGTGCATTTGGGCGGGGCCCCTTTGGGAGGCGTTTGGGCGGCATTTTTCATCCACTGGTCTCAGTTTTTTTTTCTTTATTAATTTTTGTTTCATCATTTTTGTCTGAGATATATGAGAAATCGGTGGCTGTGTTCACATAACAATTTTTTCTTAATATTTCCTTGCGGTTTTTACCTCACATGGATCATACATCATGCCTTCTTGAGCACTTCTGAAGAAGAGATTTTTGTTGATCTCGAAACGCGTCAAGTGCGAACCATGCACGATCCATGATTAGACTTGCAATACCATCTCTGATAACACAGCCGCAATATGTATTGTAGCTTTATATTTATTTTTGAAGATTGTAAAAATACAATTTCATAGTTTTTTTATAAAAAATCTTTTTTGAATTGTTGAAATTTATCATACAAGTAAATTGTAGTAAATTGTCCCACCAAAAAAGAGGACTTTTCCCCCCCGGGTACTGGACCTCACTGCAATTCAGTCCCCCTCACCTGCTATCACTCTGCACAGCTGAAAGCTGAACTAGCTGAATGTCTGAAATGAAGACTAGAGCTCCCCCTGCTGGCCATATAGAAGACCACGTAGGATTGATATGCAATGTTTTATGTTTTACTAAAGAAAAACTATTTACATGTCAATCATGAGCACAATAAAACAAAAGTTGTACTAAACCGCTATACACTACCTTTAATGGTGTAGTCACAATGGAACATGAGTGGCATCATATATTTATTTATTTATTTCAGGTACTTCTATAGCGCCATCAATTTACACAGCGCTTTACATATACAGTGGGGCAAAAAAGTATTTAGTCAGCCACCAATTGTGCAAGTTCTCCCACTTAAAAAGATGAGAGAGGCCTGTAATTGGCATCATAGGTAGACCTCAACTATGAGAGACAAAATGAGAAAAAAAAATCCAGACAATCACATTGGCTGATTTGGAAAGAATTTATTTGCAAATTATGGTGGAAAATAAGTATTTGGTGAATATCAAAAGTTCATCTCAATACTTTGTTATATATCCTTTGTTGGCAATGACAGAGGTCAAACGTTTCCTGTAAGTCTTCACAAGGTTGGCACACACTGTTGCTGGTATGTTGGCCCATTCCTCCATGCAGATCTCCTCTAGAGCAGTGATGTTTTGGGGCTGCCGCTGGGCAACATGGACTTTCAACTCCCTCCAAAGGTTTTTCTATGGGGTTGAGATCTGGAGACTGGCTAGGCCACTCCAGGACCTTGAAATGCTTCTTACGAAGCCACTCCTTCGTTGCCCGGGCGGTATGTTTGGGATCATTGTCATGTTGGAAGACCCAGCCACGTTTCATCTTCAATGCCCTTGCTGATGGAAGGAGGTTTGCACTCAAAATCTCATGATACATGGCCCCATTCATTCTGTCCTGTACATGGATCAGTCGTCCTGGTCCTTTTGCGGAGAAACAGCCCCAAAGCATGATGTTGCCACCCCCATGCTTCACAGTAGGTATGGTGTTCTTTGGATGCAACTCGGCATTCTCTCTCCTCCCAAACACGATGAGTTGTGTTTCTACCAAACAATTCTATTTTAGTTTCATCTGACCATATGACATTCTCCCAATCCTCTTCTGGATCATCCAAATGCTCTCTAGCAAACTTCAGATGGGCCCGGACATGTACTGGCTTAAGCAGGGGGACACGTCTGGCACTGCAGGATCTGAGTCCCTGGCGGCGTAGCGTGTTAGTGATGGTAGCCTTTGTTACGTTGGTCCCAGCTCTCTGCAGGTCATTCACTAGGTCCCCCCCGTGTGGTCCTGGGATTTTTGCTCACCGTTCTTGTGATCATTTTGACCCCACGGGGTGAGATCTTGCATGGAGCCCCAGATGGAGGGAGATTATCAGTGGTCTTGTATGTCTTCCATTTACTAATTATTGCTCCCATATTTGATATATTATTTGATATCCCACAGTTGATTTGTTCACACCAAGCTGCTTGCCTATTGCAGATTCAGTCTTTCCAGCCTGGTGCAGGTCTACAATTTTGTTTCTGGTGTCCTTCGGCAGCTCTTTGGTCTTTACCATAGTGGAGTTTGGAGTGTGACTTTGAGGTTGTGGACAGGTGTCTTTTATACTGATAACAAGTTCAAACAGGTGCCATTAATACAGGTAATGAGTGCAGGACAGAGGAGCCTCTTAAAAAGAAGGTACAAGTCTGTGAGAGCCAGAAATCTTGCTTGTTTGTAGGTGACCAAATACTTATTTTCCACCATAATTTGCAAATAAATTCTTTCCAGATCAGCCGATGTGATTGTCTGGATTTGTTTTCTCATTTTGTCTCTCATAGTTGAGGTCTCCCTATGATGCCAATTACAGGCCTCTCTCATCTTATTAGTGGGAGAACTTGCACAATTGGTGGCTGACTAAATACTTTTTTGCCCCACTGTATATTGTACATTCACATCAGTTCCTAACCCTCAAGGGGCGTACAATCTAAGGTCCCTAACTCACATTCATATACAAGGGCCAATTTAGACAGGATGCAAAATTATTTGCACGTTTACGAGTTCCTTGGGAAGAGATGAGGTTCCTTCTTCTTATGTTATGTTTATCAGTCTCACAATAGGATGATATTTCTGCTCACTTGGAAATCTGTGTAACATAAAACAAATGGTGGGCTTGTTATTGATCTCTGTTCAGTTCTTTTAATCAATGGGTTGTATGTGTTATCAATAATCACAGGAGCTTGTCAATCTCATCCTGGGAGGTAGAGCCGTGTCTAACGTGTTCAATGACATCATGGAGCTTGATTCTGGGAATGACAACACCACTGTTCTAAAAGGGGTCTCCAGCCGCAGTGAAATTGGCTTTTCTCTCCCTCTTTGAACATTATAGCGTGTGCCAGGTAAGTACTTCATTCTCCTAGAATATAATTTTTCGGGCAGAGGAAAAACACTGGGCCCCACCTATGGGAAAGTCTGCAGCACAAACTGTATTATGTGTTTATTAGCATGACTCTTTAGGCTGCTTTTCACTTGTTTCCCAGATTATCCTCCACTAGTTTACTGAAAACAGCCTAATGTTTATAGAGCTCAGTAGCTGAAGCTCAAATTTACAATGAGTCAGAACTCATCCCTCACAAAGTTTGTTTACTCTGGAATATATTAATCATTACAGGTGTTTATATAGCGGCAACTATTTACACAGCACTTTACATATATTGTACATTCACATCAGTCCCTAACCCTCAAGGGGCGTACAATCTAAGGTCCCTAACTCACATTCATACATACACATACTAGGGACAATTTAGACAGGAGCCAATTCACCTACCAGCATGTCTTTGGAGTGTGGGAGGAAATTACAGAACACTTCCACCTCTCATCATCTCTATAACATAGAGGGGGTGTTCTGTAGCCCTCAAAGGTGAAATGTGTAGGGCCCACAACACTGCTTGGAAGTTCAGTGCAGCATTGCTTAACAGCTCAAACAGGAGCACACTGGATTTTCGGCAGGTTAAAAGGTATTTTTCTGTACTTGCAGCATTTTACCGGTACAATAATGTTTTATTTAGTAGTCGTGACAAGATACAAGTAAAAGAATGGGGTCCCTCGCAGGGGACCATTGTAGAAACAAAAGGGATACAAATCAATAAGTAAACAAACTAGCTCATCACAAAAAATTTCCTCACGAGGGAGTAAGAACATCCAACCAGGGGCGTATTTACCACAAGGCAAACAAGGCATTTGCCTAGGGCTGCATTTTTCAGGGGGGGGGGGCGGCACCACCCTACTGGAAGAAGGGACAAAGGAAGGGACACATGCGGCTTGGGGACCAGATGGGATCTGAGAGAGACTGTGGGCTGCGGTCTCATTCCTGTGGATGTCCACAGCTGTAAAGGTGAGTGTCTTTCTCGCTCTCGCTGGAGGGGGAGTGGCCTGTGTATGGGGGCAATGGTAGAGGAAGGCTCTCTCGGGTGGGGGGCAGGGGTGTTGTTGGTCAATGAGGCTCTCTCCAGGGGTGTTGTTGGTCAATGAGGCTCTCTCCAGGGGGTTGTTGGTCAATGAGGCTCTCTCCAGGGTGTTGTTGGTCAATGAGGCTCTCTCCAGGGGTGTTGCCTAGGGCAGCACAAATCCTAAATACCCATCTGCATCCAAAGGCTGATGTCAGGAGTGTCTGTGTATATTTGAGGGATTAATAACATTGGTGTGAGTGAGGATGGTGAGGGGAAGGATACTTGCAGTATTTTTAATCCTGAAGTATTTTGCCTTCACTGATTTCTCCCTCCCCTCCTCGTTAACATGCTACATTACATTTGAAATACAACTTTTCTATTCTCCTTACATACCTCATTTTAAATGCAGTGATGTAGTCACTATGACTTTGTGCTTCTCTATGCAATACGAGCAGATCATGGCTGTTGGGAAGGACAGGCAGGCTGCTGTACATAGCTTCCTCAAAACATCACAGCACCCTGCCTCAGTACTCCTCTTAGAAGCCCTCAGTCCTGATGTAAGCAGTGGGTTGGCTCTGGGAGGAGTTATGCAAATACCAATATGCCTTGATACCCTGGTGCTCAACCTGTGGCCCAGGGGGCGCATGTGGCCTTTTGGCACTTTTTGTGCAGCCATCGGAGCTCCTGCAGACACTTATCTGTGTTTTCCCTAGAGCCCTGTTATAGCAGTAATTTCTAGCAGTCTCATGTAATATGTATGTAGTCAATAACTTTATCCTGAAGTATGTCCCCAGTTTCCAACAACTCTTATAGCATGCTTACAGTCTCCTGCAGCAAGAAGGCAGTCTCTGACCATCTCTTGTATCACATTTGTGTCTCTGATTATCTCTTGTATCATGTCTGCAGTCTCTAACCATCTCCTGTATTATATCTGCAGTCTCTGACCATCTCCTGTATCATGTCAACAGTCTCTGACCATCTCCTGTATCATGCCTGCAGTCACAGGCCATCTCCGATATCATGTCTGCAGTCTCTGACCATTTCCTGTATTATGTCTGCAGTCCAGACCATCTCCTATAGTATGTCTGCAGTCTCGGACCATCTCCTGTATCATGTCTGCAGTCTCAGACCACCTCCTGTGTCATGCCCACACTCTCGGACCATCTCCTGTGTCATGTGTGCAGTCTTTGACCATCTCCTGTATCATGTCTGCAGTCTTGGACCATCTCCTGTATCATGTTTGCAGTCTCAGACCACCTCCTGTGTCATGCCCACACTCTCGGACCATCTCCTGTGTCATGCCCGCACTCTCGGACCATCTGTATCATGTGTGCAGTTTCTGACCATCTTTATATCATTCTCATAGTCTTTGACTATATCCTGTTATGTGTCTGCTGTTTCTGACACTGATTATTCACTGAATTTTATGTGCGGCCTGTTTGGTGAGGTCGAGGGCTGCACTTTTGAGGCTCCCCATATCTAAACACCAAAATTTGCCCACCACACCTTGATGGGCGGATGTCAGTCTGGAGTAGTAGGCATTCCTAGGCAGACTATATTTACATGCACACCACCCTAGGTAACACCCATATGTGATTCTGAAGCTCCATGATGGAAAGAACCTAAATCCAGTGAACGTAAGGGACCTACCTGGGATAGTCCGGCTGGGAAGGTAAGAGCTGAATGATGACAGATGTCCTCCAGCCAAATAATGAGATGGGCTTTACCTGACTTGCAGTACTTTCTAATGCACATTGTGAGACGCTCAGAGTAAGCTATTACAGTCCAGGAGAGGAGCCGGTACAATAGACAAGACTACAGGGAAGGTCTTACACAGCTTTAAAACAGACCTAACATTACATATATCTTCTTTTGATGTCCTTTAAATATGGTGTCATTGTAACACTTCCAGCTATTCAGGCAGAGTCTGGCAGCTTTAACCACTTCCAGTCCGGACACTTTCACCCCTTCCAGTCCGGACACCCCCCAGTCCGGACACTTTCACCCCCTTCCAGTCCGGACACTTTCCCCCCCTTCCAGTCCGGACACTTCCAGTCCGGACACTTTCCCCCCCTTCCAGTCCGGACACTTTCCCCCCCTTCCAGTCCGGACACTTCCCCCCCTTCCAGTCCGGACACTTTCCCCCCCTTCCAGTCCGGACACTTTTCCCCCCTTCCAGTCCGGACACTTCCAGTCCCGGACTTTCACCCCCTTCCAGTCCGGACACTTTCCCCCCCTTCCAGTCCGGACACTTTCCCCCCCTTCCAGTCCGGACACTTTTCCCCCCCTTCCAGTCCGGACACTTTCCCCCCCTTCCAGTCCGGACACTTTCACCCCCTTCCAGTCCGGACACTTTCACCCCCTTCCAGTCCGGACACTTTCCCCCCCTTTCCGGACACTTTCCCCCCCTTCCAGTCCGGACACTTTCCCCCCTTCCAGTCCGGACACTTTCCCCCCCTTCCAGTCCGGACACTTTCCCAGTCCGGACACTTTCCCCCCTTCCAGTCCGGACACTTTCCCCCCCCCTTCCAGTCCGGACACTTTCCCCCCCCTTCCAGTCCGGACACTTTCCCCCCCTTCCAGTCCGGACACTTTCCCACCCCCTTCCAGTCCGGACACTTTCACCCCCTTCCAGTCCGGACACTTTCACCCCCTTCCAGTCCGGACACTTTTCCAGTCCGGACACTTCCCCCCCCCCTTCCAGTCCGGACACTTTCCCCCCCTTCCAGTCCGGACACTTTCCCTCCCTTCCAGTCCGGACACTTCCCCCCCTTCCAGTCCGGACACTTTCCCCCCCTTCCAGTCCGGACACTTCCCCCCCTTCCAGTCCGGACACTTTCACCCCCTTCCTGTCCAGGCCAATTTTCAGCTTTCAGTGCTATCACACTTTGAATGACAATTACGCGGTCATGCAACACTGTACCCATATGAATTTTTTAGCATTTTTTTTTAGACAGATAAAGATTTATTTTGGTGGTATTTATTCACCACTGGGATTTTAATTTTTTTTTGCTATGTAAATTAAAAAGTCCAAAAATTTGAAAAAAAAGTGTTTTTCCTATAAAATTTTGCAAATAAATAGTATTTCATCATAAATATTGGCCAAAATTTATTCCGTTATCTTTTTAGTAAAAAACAAATTACCAAATTAGTTTATAACCAAAAATTATAATTTTTAAACACTTTTATTTTTTTTATATTATTTTTTATTTTTTTTTTTTTTACATACTGTCACCCTAGCAGTACAGTGTCACCATGGTGACACTGTACTACTGGGGGGGGGGGGGGGGGGGGTAATGAAGATTTTTTCTTTTTTTTTTACACTGATTGCTTTTACACCCATAAAGGCTGTAAAAGCAATCATTTCTCCCTCTCTCTTGCTGCATTCTTGAAGCCATTGAGAACTACTGAGTGAGCTGTGATTGGTCACAGCTTGTCACATGGTACAAGGCTGTTGTGAATAGCCCTGTACCATGTGATCTCTGTGATTATTCACAGATTTCACACACGTAGTAAGCAATGATGTCACAAGTGATATCTTGCTTACTACTCTTCATGTGATCACTGATTGGCCAATCAGTGATCACATGATCGGGACCTTGTACAGAGGTCCCGTCCGACGATTGGTGTTCCACTGTGTCCGGAGGACACAGCGGGCACCAGATCGCGGTGCTGCGTGCTCCCAGGGAGCGCGCACAAGCAGGGTGCGGGGAGGCCGTTTATAAACGGCCACCCGCCCCTGCAGTGCCACCGTCCGGCCGTTTATATGCAATGGCCGGACGGGAAGTGGTTAAAGCATAAAATATGGGAAAATGAGCATGTATTGCAAAAGTGTACTAAGTATTTTTATTTTTTATGTTTTCCTTAGCCATACGCTGTAAAAAGTAACCTTGTTTTTTCCTTCAGGTTGGTTCCTATCTCAAGACCCCGAAGTATCCTATCTGGGTGGTCTGCAGTGAGAGTCACTTTAGTGTCCTATTTTGCTTGAAGAAAGATTTGATCAGCGACTGGAGAGCGGAACGAAAGTTTGATTTATATTACTATGACGGACTGGCCAATCAACAGGAGGAGATTTGCCTCACGATTGGTGAGTTTGAAAATAAATTATATTACTTTAACCACTTCAAGTCCAGACACTTTCACCCCCCTTCCTCTCCAGGCCAATTTTCAGCTTTCACACTTTGAATGACAATTGAGCGGTCATGCAACACTGTACCCAAATGAAATTTTTTTTGTATTTTTTTGAGACAAAACTTTATTTTGGTGGTATTTATTCACCACTGGAATTTTTATTTTTTTGCTATATAAATTAAAAAGACTAAACATTTCGAAAAAAAGTGTTTTTCTTATAAAAGTTTGCAACTAAATAATCTTTCTTCATAAATTTTGGTCAAAATTTATTCAGCTATATTTATTGGTAAAATAAAAAGCTCGAAAGCTGTGTACTAACGATCCGATTATCGGACGATCGATCCTCGTACGAAAATTTTCTTAAAGTGTGTACAGGGCATTAGGTTTGCCACACATTATACAATTTTCCTGTGCAATTTTCATTTATATTTACCAAAACCATATAACATGAGGTTAAATCTAAACACTTTCAATCAAACAGTTTATTCAGAAAAATTTTTTTACATTTTTATTCAATTTTTTTTTAAATTATTATTTGTTTTCTTTACATACTGTCACCCTAGCAATACAGTGTCACCATAGTGACACTGTACTGCTTGTGGGGGGCTGATGAAGATTTTTTTTTTTTTTTTACACTGATTGCTTTTACAGCCTTTATGGGTGTAAAAGCAATCATTTCTCTTCTTTCTGGCTGAGAAATACTGTGAGAGCTGTAATTGGTCACAGCTTGTCACATGGTACAAGCCTGTTGTGAATAGCCTTGTACCATGTGACCTCTGTGATCATTCACAGAATTCACAAGTAGTAAACAATGGTATCAGGAAGTGACATCTTGTTTACTACTGTGCATGTGATCACTGATTGGCCTGTCACTGATCACATGAATCGGAACCTCACACTCCGGGTACATCGATCTGTGGGCACATATCGTGGTGCTGCACGCTCCCAGGGAGCATGCACAGGCAATGGATGCGGGAGTACGTTTAGAAACGCCCCCCGCATCGGCAACGCTCCCATCTGGCTGTTTATCGGCAAGGGGCCGGACGGGAAGAGGTTAAAATAACTATCACCAACTGATAAATTCCTGTAGAAACATTACTTTCAGGAGTGTTGATCTCTTGCTCCCCTACAGCGCCAGCTGGCTCCTCCCACGCACCTTTACAACTCCCATCGTGTTTATACTGTTTTCTGGGGCTCAGAGAGGTTTTCCTTCTCTTTTTATCCTGTTGATAAGAGTTTTACCAGACAGGAAGTGAGGAAAAGTCAACAACAGGGACACAGACAAATAAAAAATCTCAAAATGTAAAAACACAATAGGAGCACCAGATCAAATAGTGCAAGAGTCCAGGCAACTTTAATAATTCATCATATGATCACATAAAACATCCAGTGCATTTCAGGGGCTCAAAACATTCCCCCTTTATTAGGGCATGCATATTGCATGTGGTTAAAGAACTTAAGGGATCACCAGGATATCTTGATATAACAGTGATGTATGTAATATTTTCAGAGGTAGGCCCCTTTCACACGGGAGGTAAAATATTGGCGCTGGAGAGATGGGGTTAAATCTTAGCGTCCCATTAGTGGTAGGGAGGTAGTCAGTTATTGGATAGCACCATCATGAGGCAGCACCCTATAGAGTTAAGCTGGACTCTGTATTGGAAAGTAAGAGAGAGAGGGGCGCCAGACTAAGTGCAGTATTGACAATCATTTATTGCACACAATGGTATGTAACTTACTAGATGCAAGTAGGCTATAGGCATGGATTAAATATGGATGTCATCATGATGGAGTTCCAAAGGCAGAGAGGAGAGGGTGGATGGACATCTGGGGGCCACGGCTGTGGTGGAAGCCAGGTCTCCTGACTCACATCGAGTCCTCTGCAGTGTGTACACCAGGCTGTGTCTCGTGCGGAACAAGCCTGGAACGCAAATGGCCGCCGGGCGGAAGTGACATCACTACGGGAACATAATACCGAAAGGAAGGAGCGGTAACGCGTTTCAAAGGTCAGAGGTCTGACGAAGAAGCAGCAGCTTTGAAACGTGTTACCGCCCCTCCCTTGTGGCATTACATTCCTGTAGTAACGTCACTTCTGCCCAGAGGCCATTTGCGTTCCAGCCTGGTTCCGCACGAGACACAGCCTGTACACACTGCAGAGGACTCGATGTAAGTCAGGAGACCTGGCTTCCACCACAGCCGTGGCCCCCAGATGTCCATCCACCCTCTCCTCTCTGCCTTTGGAACTCCATCAGGATGACGTCCATATTTTATCCATGCCTATGACCCACTTGCATCTAGTGAGTTACATACCATTGTGTGCAATAAATGATTGTCAATACTGCACTTAATCTGGCGCCCCTCTCTCTCTTTTTATCTTCCCATTCACATGGTCAGACTCTGTTTAGATCAGCAGGGAATCTGTTCGTTGATCCCCTGCTGATCAGAGCAGAGTATGCAGATAACAGGTCCATGTCCGCTCAGTTTCTGCAGCGCGAATACAGACAAAGCCCACTCTGCTCCATGGGCAGTCGGGAGTACACGGACTTCCGTTTTTTTTTTTTTTTTTTTTTTTATCATCCTAGATCGGATTGAAGGTAGGTGGTTGTAAATGGACACAAGTCCATTATATAGCCTCCGGTACATAGGGGGAATGGAGGGTGTAATCAGGTCTGCCTGAAAAACTGACAGGTGGACCTGATCAGGCCCTTTGTGTGGAGGGAGCCTGACCCTAGGTTCACATCTGTGTGGGTGGTGCTGCTGCGGATCTGCACGAAAATCCGTGCAGCCGCACCACCCGCACAGAAATGCAGACCTGCAGGTGGGTGCCATTAGTTCTACTGGCACGCCGCCCGCACTGGAAAATGCAACTGTACTGGGAACCGAGGTTCCCGTGCGGGCTGCGTTTTCCAAAGAAGTGCAGGGACTTCTTTCCCTGCGTGTCACGGGAGTCCAATCAAATGAATGGGCTCTCGTGCCTGTGCAAAACGCGGCCCGGACGTCTGCATGGATGTGAACCAGGGGTAAGGGTTGCCACACATTATACAAATTTTCCTGTGCAATTATCATTTATATTTACCAAAACCATATAATATGAGGTTAAATCTAAACACTTTGCAATTTGTATGCAATCAAACAGGCCCTTGCACTACAAAGTTGAAGGTAAATCTAAAGGAAATTGAATATGAAAATTGTATAAAGTATGGCCTGCTTTAGTGAGATATTTGTGAGATGTAGGCCTGCCTTGATTATCATCATCTGAGGAATCCCAGGGTTGCATTAAGAGAATCTGCAGGGTATGCATCCCTTTAGATAACTATGGGTCTTAAGGCATCAATAGATGGATGGAAAGTCTGACGGTTCAGCAGGAACTGGCGAAATTGCGATCCATCTATGGGCAGGCTGGTTGTACAGAAGTCGATCTCTCGATCAACTTCTGTACAACCAGCTTGTTTGAAGTGCTTGATCAGTGTCATTGGCTAAAGCCAGCAACACTGATCATCGTATTTTAATGACAGAGAACTCTTCCCGTTGTCAAAATACAATAGCTCCGTACCAACCCTACTTCCTCATATCACTCCCGTTTATGCTGCTAACTTCTCCCCTCTGTTTCATGCAATTTCTCAATCCTTAAAATCCTTGGACAGTCTTTCCATCTCTTTCTTTGCACGGATCAATGTACTAAAAATCACATATTGCCCAAGCTCTTGTATCTCTTGGAGACGCTTCCTGTTCCTATTCCCATGTCCAAACTGCACTCCCTTCAGAAGTCCTTCCTCCACTTCATCTGGCATAATAAATCTCACCGGATTGCCCGTACTGTCCTTCTCTCTCCTCGATCTAGGGGGGTCTGGGGGCCCCAGACATTGTGTCGTACTACTTAGCTGCTCACCTTCAGGCTCTTGTCTCACGGTTCTCCCAGCACCCCCCTAATGAATGGGCCGAGATTGAATGGCTACAACTGAGTCTGATGCACCCTTGTCTGGTCTATGACCAACACTAAAACCTCCTCTCACAAACATCTCCTGCTTGGACCCATGCAGTTCACGTTATCTGTATGGAGGCGGTGTAGGGTTAAATTCACCTTCTCTTCCCTGTGTTCCCCCTTGACCAATGTCATATTTAATCCCTGCCTCCCCGATAGCTTGGCCTTGACTCGTGTGCGTCCCTGGACCGAGGCCAATCTATTTCAGTTGCGACACTTGGTCCACTCAGCGACTCTTAAGTTTAAATCCTCTGAGATTCAAAAAGCCACTCGTACGCCACTCCACCAATATCATGTTTATCTACAGATATTACGCCATTTATTTTTCGCCAAAGCCTCTACTTTGACTCTTGAGAAACCTACCCCATTTGAGCGTATCTGCATCCAAGGCCCATACCAACGCGGCATAATTTCCTCTACATATAAGCTGCTTTTAGGCACCTAACCCTATCTATTGATACACACCTTTATATACGCGTAAATGGCCCCGAATCCTCCAATGTGACATCGCCTTAAATCAATGGAGCAGGATTTGGGAAGCTGCTTCCAGATCTTCTATATGTGTAGTATATAAAGAAAACACTTAGAACATTCTGATGTTTTGGTATAGAACTCCTGAGGTTCTCCATGCTCGTAACCTGAATGTTTCTTCTGTCTGCTGGTGTTGTGGTGAGGAAAATGGCACTCTTCCATATTTTTTGGGCTTGCCAGTACATTGTACCCTTTTGGAGAGCGGTCCTTAACCTACTACGGCTACTTTTGCGGGCTCTTATTTCATTTGAGCCCATCCATTTTTTTGTTGGGCCTACCTTTTTCAGGCCTCTCCAAGATTGCAAGGAAACTTTCCTCCCACATTTTAATGGTGGCCAGGAGAACCATCCCCGTGCATTTGCTTTCTACTACGCCCCCTATGTTATCGGAAATGAGGAAGGTTATAGTGGAGATTAGAAAAATTGAACATTATTATTATTATA